GGCTGACCTGATTTCCTCTTGAATAATGAACATGAGGCATCATTCCCCGTGCACCTCCCTTTTCTTATACTGTAAAATGATTGACTTACTGTCAGTTGTACTGAGGCGTACTACGGTGACTGTGCTGGGCTTGGAGCAATAACCTGAGCAGCTCTTACGATGGGTATCTGATTTTCTTTGGTCAATGGCACTGCCCGGCTCTCCAGTCTGATTCAGGGAGTGCCTTTGAGAAAAAAATATGATACATGCCTTACTTGAGTTCAAAAGAACACAGAGAATCACAGCAGAGGACTCTGTAAATAGTTTAGACCTTATCTTTACACTTCCTTTGCAAGCAGATACTCTGATTACAGGAAGACCCTGCCCTTGCATGTACTCCTGGCTTTAGCGGTCAGAGAACAGAAGCAGAAGAGACCCACTAAGCAGAAGCTTCAATTCTCATTTACTTTGTTTCAGGAAGGCTTCATTCAAGTGTTGGAATCTCTTCTATACTTTGTCAGTGCTGCTCCACATGTCTGTTTTGTGGCTCAAGCTCTATGCCTGCTCCATTTCCTATCATTCAGTCTGGATGATCAAATGAAATGATCTCTTTTCCGTATATAGTCCCATTACTTCTAATTTAGGTCCTTCTTTATGCCATTCAAAACACTCCCTTTTCCTCTTCTGCATTAGAGACTTCTGACTTATCAGAATGTACAGCACATACAACTTCAATTCACAGTGAAAATATGGATATGCTGTTTCATCTTAACATTTATTTAAGTTTTCCCATAGTTCAAACAAAACATGACATCCCATTTCAACTGATAAAATAAAAAGAAAAAAAAATAAACCACTTCTACAAAGTTAGCCAGTGTATAGACTTTCTTATTTTACAAAACAAAAAGGTAGGAACATGTTACAAAATTATCATCAAATCAACCAATGTCGATAGTGCAAAGAATGAACTGCAAGTACAGGAGCGAGAGGGATGGAGGGTAGGACGGATGGGAGGATGGATGGATGGATGTGTGGGTGGGTGGCTGGCTGGCTGAAGAAAACAGGAAGGCTAGGAACAGCTAGGCCTGTTATCACACAATATTTCATATCTCAAAAAACTCAGGATGAATATTTAACTTTAGTGGCAGAAGAGGGTCAGCATTTCATCCATACGTGATCTCTGTGTGCTGCAGATTCTTGCACTGGCCAGTTCTGGAGATGAATACAGCTATAAAAACGAGCCACTAAGAGGCACTGAAAGGCATTTTTCACCCTCTGGAACAGAGGTGACCTCTCAAGGGCTTGATTAGTTTGTGTGCATCCAAGGGCCAAGGCAATTACCGAGAAATTTCATGCAAGCAACAGAGTTAAGTACCTCCAGGCTGAACTTTGTATACCCTTTTCTCCTGGTTTCACGCTCTTTTGCATGCAATTGCTCTCTGTCTTGGGAGGTGACTGATCAAAAGGGAGTTTCAGCAGCTACTATAAGTCATGTGGAGAGGTAGACCAACGGGTCTTGGACATACTGTCAAGCAAACACGTCAGCCAGCAACCCACCAGAAAAGGTAAATTATTTCTGCAATGTTTCTTATGATACTGCTACAATGAAGAACCTAAAATCTGTCTCCTTCACAGGATGACTAAATTTGAGTCTAAATAAAATAAAGGACAAAAATAACATCAGTCGGTTACAGTAATTCTCCGCTGAATTTGCCCATTTTCCTTTGCTAGCAGAGTGTCCATAGTTAATAAATGTAAGAGGAGTTCACTAGAATAAGCTCAGCTGCCCGGAGATGTTTTTCATCTTTACCCCTTGTGATCAAAGACTGTTTAAGTTTACTTTTCTAGGCAAAATTCCCTGCAATACCTCAAGTCTTACCACAGTACAAAAATGAAACAAGACCATAATGAGAAATAGAAAGAAGGTTGAAAGTGAGAATAGCTTCAGGGAGTAAATGTATGCTTACCTTGAAGGCACATTTCCTGCACGGAGTGTTTGAGTACTACAAAGCTTTCAAATAAACCAAAGGACTGTGATTATATCTTTCTCAAAAGGAGTACTAAACTGAAACTATTCAAAGAGATTTCCCCTCCCCCCCAAGATTAAAAAAAAAAAATAAAAATCATCCCTACTACAGGCATAGCTTGTATTTAAATCATTTCTGCTACTCTAAAACTGACAGAACTCAGCTCTTTTCCCCTCACTCCCGTCAACAGTCTGTCCAAATTACTACTGTACTCCTATGAATGAAGAGTATATGGTTCATGTAAATAAAGTTCACACGGTGACAGTATCTAACGCTGAAATATTGGCACTGTTTAATCAAACAAGAACAGTCTCTTGAAAATCCAGTGGCACGTACACCAGAAAGATATTCTCCAGAGATCAGAATGGATTAAAATAGCTGGTTTATAAACCAGAACACTTCTCCAGTTTTGTCTGCGTAACTCCATGACGATTGGAAGACATACATCTGTCATATAACTAACTGCCTAAGAGAGATCAGCGTCAGGCCCTTCTTTCATGCACTTTGAATAAAAAACATAACCAGTGATGGAGAGGTAGAGAAGTTAAGTAAATCCAGAAACCTCTAATATGTTCATCTTTCAATTTTGGGGGCACGAAATATTCTGTGGCTGGAGTGTGACAGAGACTGAAGAGTTTAAGAATTCAATAGAGATGGAAAATGATATGACTTAGAATTTCTCCCCTCTTTAAGGAGTACAGCACAATTTGCTGTTACTTATTTGTGTTTTCCAGGGCTGGGGAGCAAGAGGCAAATATTCAGACACCGAACCTGCCGATTGGAGCAGGGAATCTCCCGACTGTTTCTTTCAGAAAACTTTCTCACAGTTCCTCAGCAACATCTCAGCACTCCTTCAGCTTGGTTTTGTTGGATTTCTTGCTGGTCCTTTTCAGAAACTGTACGCTAGGAGCTGCAGTGAAAAACAGGGAAAACACCCAGAAGTTCTTCGAATGCCTCTGAAAAGAAGAGTGAATTTCATAGAGAGGAGTTGCAGTGCAACTCACCACAGCCAGCCTGCAACAGAGCTCAGAACCAGTAATGAATTCAGCCCCGCGCTCTCAGATATTTCACAACCTATACAAGTTACCACCTAATAATGATTCTTTGCCCTTGATCGGTAATTTTAATCCACTGATCTCAGAACGCTTTGTAAAAGTTAATAGCATTTCTCCACATACAGAGAGATGTTGCAAATACTTAGTACTAACTGGTGTGCTCTGAGGGAGGAGCTCTCAGTAGGACTACCTGCAAGGGAGTATTACGTGCTTATTAAGAAGTCTTAGAAGGACCGAGACTTTACATACTTACAGTGGTGTACCTGTGTAAATATAAATCACTAGGTTGATCTAGGCCTGGAATTTAAGTGCCTATAAAAAGGCATTTAGAAGTTCCCTATAATTTGTTTTAAATTCTACCACTATAATTAATCTCATGTTTTATTTGGGATCTTAACATTGTAGTGATTTTTATAGGAGTCACAGTGCAAGTAGTAACCTTCTGTTATATGAAATGTAAAAAAAAGTAAATTTATAAATCTATAAAAAAAGCTTTAATTCCTTATGATTTTAATTTACATTGCCAAGGCTTTCCAAATGTGTGATTTTAAAGTCAGCAGTAACCTTTCAAGAGATGAATGATTTAATAAATTACTTTTCTTACATTTAAAATTCCCTGGAGACAAAATATTCTGCAAACCATGGAAACAACTACAAAACATGTATTTTGAACACTGTTTTACCTGAAAATTTATATGAAGGAGTGGTTTTTGCCTTCTGCATTTTTATTTAGAAATAAGGTTTAAGACTTGCTGTTACTTTCAGCTAAATGGAGATTGAAAAATCTCTATGATGGAAGCTTGTTTTTAATTTTTGAAAAAAGATTTTGGGTCCCAGCTAGGGGGGGGGTTTATAAAGACACAAATTACTTATATTGTAGGTTCAAGATAGAAAACGAAAGTAATATTGCACTGCAAGCAAGGACAGACTTTCAAGGAGTTTCAGGAAGGCAAACAGCATTGTCTGTTAAGGTAATCATGTTCTGACATTTTCAATAACCATCCACCTTACCCATCCAGGAAAACATAAAAAAAAAAAAACCCACCCCAAACCAAACCCCAATGCTTTTCCCTTAAATATCTTTCTAGGCAGGAATGATCTAATCTTAGCAAAGTCCCTCCTGTATCACCTCTATTATAACACACATTCCCTGTTACTAGCAGCTATAACCATGTTCAGTCAAGATAACAGAACAGCCCAGACTCACAAATAAAAATTTTAAGAAACTGCAGAGGTTTTCTTGTAACTTGTGCAGCCTCCATGAAAATGTGCACAATGACATGTTGTCGTTCAGAGGATGAGACAGGAAAGGGTGAATAGAAGAACAGCTACATAATTAGCTGCCCTGTCTGTAGTTCATCTGCTTGCCCAGTTACTATGTTTAAGATGCAGAGTTTGCTGATGCGCTAGAACGGTGCTCAGGGTTTTCACTCTGTTGACAACTTCAGAAATGAGATCACTGGAGCATCACTAGATGCTCCCGAAGTTTTATTTGGCAGTTCAGCAAGAAGCGAATCTGCCGATGGCCAAACCAACAGGCATACAAAAAAACTGCTTAACGTAGGAGGGCAAGTAAGTTAAGTCAGATAAAGGCTGCTTTCTGGTTTGGCTGTGGTGGTGGCCAGACCATACTTCAGTGCAGAACCTAGACAGTGAAGAGGCAGAAAAGGCAGGCTTGACTGAAATACAAGTCATTCTGTCTATACTAACTGCACTTAAGTCATTCCAGCAAAAGCCCACGGGTCCGTTCCAAACAAACCACTGGCGGGCTTCTTCTCAGAGTATGGATCATCACAAGGAAAAATAATACTCTTCAGAGCATTATTTTAAAAGTAGTACTCCATACTTCTTAAAGAAAAATACTAAAACCCTGCAAAAGTCCTTTCTTCCAGGTCTTTAATTTGACAACCCTTCTTGGGACCAGCAGACTGATCTTCCTTCACTGCGTAGCACATTCATTGACGTTTGCAGTATCTTCTCCCTTCAGATCCTCATTCAAGCTTTTTTTCTGCTCTATTTCGACCTGGCAGAGGAAAAAGAGGGAGAACATTTGTAACGAGAAAGGAAAAAAAAGGATTCAAAAATCTTCCTTAGTGGTGATTTGTGTCCTGCTCAGATGAAGAAACTCTTGGTAAACTGAGAGGGTTGTGAAGAGAAAAAGACTGAGGAGGGAAAGCTGGATTTGATGTACTGTAAGTGTTTTCAGTCTAACCCAACCAGTTTTATGACTCAATAGTGGCATGATGTCACTTGCAGAATAGGTAATGTCATGCAGAGGACTGGTCTCACACGATGTTATATTCGTTACTATCCCCAGCAGTACTCTGAATCCAAACCCAGAACCAAATCTGCAGAGGACAGGTGGCTTCTTAAGTGATAGCAGACAATCAGCCTCAATTTTAAGCTCTACAAAGACTGATGTATAAAGCAAAGAGATTAATTTACAAAATGCACATCTACATTTGTGTTCTAAATTTCAACACCTCCTAAAACTCAGGGATAATCCAATGTTTAATTCTTAAAAGGAATACTTAGGAAGATCAAATACCATCTCCAGGGAATTTAAGAGACTACTAAAAATGGAATTACAATTACCATTAAAAATATTTGCCATGAGAATCTTTTCAGTATCTCTCATCATAGCCCTTAAAGAAGGCAGGTAGGATGCCAATTTCTCTGCTGAGTGATCAGCTAACACGCAAATTTTGGCATACTGAGATTCTTGGCAGGTATATACATACTGCATTTTCCCATCTGCTCCTCTCCTTAGGGCAGGCAGGAAGAAGAAATATTTAAGCACAGAAATAACACGATCCTTTAGGCTGCTGTAGCAATCCCACTGTAGCACTCTCACTGGAGCTGCTATGAAGTGCAGCAAAACTCCCTGTTCACGCTGTGACCGTATGAGCTAATCCCCAGTAGCTGGCTGGGTGTATGTGTGTGCTCTCTGTCGTGGTTTGGGCTGGGCTGGCTGCTAAACAAATGACAGATGCTCTCTTTACCTCTCTCTCCCCCTTCCCAGAAGAGAAGGGAGAGAAAATAAGGGAGAGACCTATGGGCTGAAAACTAAAACTACTTTAATGAAATATTAATAATAAAAATAAAATATAATAACATATATAAAAAAGAAAATAATGAAATGTATACAGTATACACAAAACCAGTATGGAGCTTCCAGGATGATGATCATGTCACCAGCAGGTACTGGGAAAGTCCCAGATTGGACTCAGTGATGGACGGGAGCTGAACTCAGGATCTGGATTCAGGAATGCATGGATCGGAATCAAAGGCACATGAACAGACAGAGTCCTTGGGTGCTGGCCATTGAAGAAAGAGACTAACCCCTTTGATCCCTCAGCTTTTATACTGAGCATGAAGCAGATGGGATGGAATTCCCTGTTGGTCAGTTTTGGGTCACCTGTCCTGTCCGCTCCTCCCCACAGGTATGACCCATCTACTCTTTTCCGCTTCCGACCCTCCAATGGGGCAAATAACAAAGTTATCTGCCCTTGGGTGTTATACCAATACATATAAGCCAGAGCCTCTCTGCATATCATTCCTTGGCATCAACTAGAAACATAGGTCTTATCATTCTGGAAGCAGACAATGTCTGAAGAATATGCCACTAATTTTGGAAAGTGCAGTTACTTAGAAGAGACTTAACTGGAAAGCAAAATTACTGAAAAGGAAATTGGTTCTGTTTTACCTCAAACCAGGACACTCTTCCACAAAGCAACTGCAAGCAAGTTTATTCCATCTTTGCAGAGGGATAATCCACTGCTTGTTTGCCATGAATCAACAGGCTGCACATGGGTAGGTACTGCAGAGAGCCTGGCATGAGCCAAATTCCCACCTCATCTGCCCATGGTATTTTATTTGTCTGCCCACACTTTTCCAGACAGCGTAGCATGAGTAACCCTGGCGATTGCCACATGCTCAGCTTTACCTTGTAACTGTAGTGTGCTGAATAGTTGACCCACTTCCTCACATCGGTCTTGTCCTCAACAGAGATGGACCGAACAGTGGCTTTGGACGCAGAAGTGGTAGGCATGTCAAATTCCACATCTACATAGCGGACAAAACTGGAAGGCACTTCCCGGTCAGAGCCAAGCTCTAGGTGACAGAAGAAGCAGTGAGGATGGCCAGAAACTGGAAAAAGAGAGCAAACAGACATGAAAGTTGTGCTGAATGGATCAAAAAAGACAACATCTAACAGGAAGCAACATCACAAAACTGCAAGAAATCCAGAATCTGCTTACTTTGCAGCAAGTGACAGTATCTTACCTGCTTCAGTAACGTTGGATTTCCCAGAGGAACTGAACAAAATAAACTGCAAAAAGGACTGATGATCACTCTAGTTTGCTTTTAGTGGGTGAAAATACAAGATGTAAATCAAGCATCATAGGGTAAAGGTATTTCCCCTCTTATGATTCCCCCAGTGTATGTAACATGCTAAGTACGTTGTGGCACATCCTTCTGAAATGTCATGTATTGACAGTAAGCAAAGGTGGGATTTGGCAGATATTTCACATTTATTTGAAACTGTTATCCCCATTTTTAGCAAAAGAAATATACTGGATAAGAAATATTTTTTCTGGTCTCAAAAAGCAAATTTGTGCACAGCTTGGAACTAACTGTATATTCCTTACTCTAACCCACAACAAGGTGGATAGTCATTAAAGATGGCAAGGCGAGGCAGTAATCATGTTCATCTCTGTCATCTGTAAATGATAACCTTTGTCATCTTTTTTTTTCCCATTTGTTTTGCTGGACAGCAGTGATGTTTAAAAATTAGAGTAGGGACTGCAAGTCAAGCTAGGGTGGTTTTATTTCTGCCTGCTGCCAACTCCCTAAGCTCTTGAGCAAGTAATTTAAGGTCTGCGCCTCAGTTTCGCTGTCTGCAAAATGAGTATGAGAGCCTTCAAAGCCACCTTGGGCCTTCTCACTGACGGGATCCTATTATCTATGTATGTGTAAAAGAAAGTAAGGTATAAATAAATTAATAGAATCCTTGTCTGCCACTGTTCCAGCCTTTAGGATTTCTGACTACTTGTTCATTGGGAAAGTTCTTCTCCATACAGCTCAGCAAGGTGTACAGGACAGAGAAAAGGAAGGAAGGCAGAGTAAAAAGAACTGGATGGGGAAAGCCCAGAAGCTGTTCCTGGCAAGAGGAGGAAAACAATGCCTGTGAAGGACTTGCAAGCCTGGGTCTTGACAAGGAAGTCAGCTCCTCATCCAGAGCTTAGCCCAAAAGTCAGCCTGGTCGAGCTGAAGCTTCAAAAGCAACATGTGGGCTTTGGAGATATTACTAGTCCCAACAGGATGAAATGGAGCAGTCTTCAGAGGGCTTAGGCATTGCAACATCTTACTTAACCTCTGAAATAGAGGTAGAAAAAAATTTCAACATGACGTAAGTCTGGGTAAAAATTTCATCTCGAGTCAGCCTCGCAATTCCAAACAGTCTACTCAGAGTTTCCTCACAACTGGAAGGTTTATAAACTTATGTCTGTGCGGAAAATCCAAGGAGAGGCTATGCAGTGCAGCAGAGACCACAGAGATATGCAGCACCACCGCGGGAGCCAAGTTCTGAATGAGTGGGTGCAGTATCAAGCAAGCATAAAAGCTTGAGTTCTGCAAGCATTAAAATACATCACTCGCTTTTCACCTGGATTAATTATCCCAAGCACAGTTGCCCTGGTTCTAAAGCGAGATGGGATCTCTCTCTGACAGTGCTTCCCACCTTTTCACACCTGGCGCACACTTTTTCTGGATAAGAAGCAGTGGTGCACAGCAGACCTTCAAGACGATGCCACCCATCGTGGGCTAGCAGCAGTCTCATGTGCCCTCATGGAGAACACTGTGCCCTCCAGCACGGAAGGGCTTTTGCTTCTGCCCAGTTCTTGAGCTTGGCCGTGGTGGGCACGCCTGTGGTGGCAGTGCCTTCAGCCTCTGCCATGGGATGCTCAGGTGCTGCTGCACATACCTGGCAATCACTGCTCTCTGGCACTGCGTTATGAAGATGCCTAAAAATGAGTCATTCTTGGCTCAAAAATTCTGTGTTCAGCACTCAGTACTGGCAACCAGCTCCCAGTCTCAGGCTCCCCATCCGTTCCTTTCTCTTTCCTCACCCTGTACCAGTCTCAGCAGACTCCTCGTTGTAACCTTGCCTGCTCATCTGCTTTCCTGTGTTTTTCCTCTGGTTTCCCATGGGTTGCTCCCTCCTTCAGACTGCCTGGCTTGCGGCGGAGGCCCACGGCAGCCCAGGAGAGGCGGCTCTGTGCCCCATGGCTACAAAATGTTCAGCTTGTGCCGCTGCACTCCTGAGCTGGTACGTGCTCAGTTGCTTTGGGGACAGACACATGCGAAGGTAACACTGGGAAGTGTTTAACTGGGCTTGAGCACACTGTGTGACAGCTGCTTTGGAGATCTGAGCTTTTAAACTCTTCATAATTTCAACTGGACACATGGAACCAGCAACTACTCTTCTAACGCACCTGAATGTTGGTGGATATTCACAGCCTCCCCCCTTCCAAAAAAAGCCAACCCAAAACAAAACAAAAAAGAAAGTGGGGGAAATATAGGGGAAAAAGGCAGAAAACCAAAATTATTGCAGTGCAATCAACAAAGCTATTTTTCAATAATTTAATTTCTTCTAGTAGGAGTACCCACTAACAGAAAAGACCATGCAAAACACTAAAAAAATTATGGACGTTTAATTTAAACCAGCTCATCATGGTAGGCAACAAGATGAACTGATGAAGAAATCAGCTCCTCCACCAAACCTATAGCAAGAATACTGAGCACATCAGGCTTCATTAGTGTCCCAAGCGTGAGGCACACAAGGCACAACTTCTGTAGACCTGTGTTTGCTCAACAGGCTCATTCAGGGCTCTTTCTCTAATGGACAGGTACGCTTTTTAGTAAAATTAGGAGGAATTCGACAGGCAGCTTTTGTTTTGCATCTCTTGCTTCCTTGAGCTACTAACATTTCATTCTGACAATCGAGGATCTGATAACATAGTTCATATATATGCACGGGTTACAGTGATTGTAAGGAATCTGTTCCAAATGACTCTGATGTCCCAACATGTTTGGATTAAAGGATTTAATTTACTTCACAAAGTATACCAGGCAGCACGCCTGGGATCCACAGCCAAACCAGGCCAAAGTTCGAATAACCAGATCCAAGGGTCTGCACAGGGCCTTCATCCCTGCTCTGCTGGAAGAGCATTTTCCCACGATCGAAGACTGGGTGGATGTTTTCCTAATATTCTGCTGGTGGATTACGCCTGGGATCCACAGCCAAACCAGGCCAAAGTTCGAATAACCAGATCCAAGGGTCTGCACAGGGGCTTCATCCCTGCTCTGCTGGAAGAGCATTTTCCCACGATCGAAGACTGGGTGGATGTTTTCCTAATATTCTGCTGGTGGATTAAAAAAACCCAAACATGTGGAGCCCAGCCAGCTGCAACCGGAGCTCTGCAAAGCCTGTAAATAGGCTTTCTTTATCAACTGCTTTGATCATATTAATTGTGAATATGAGAAGGGCAATAAAGTTTAACAAGCTGTTTTGGAAAGGATTTCAGCAATGTGCTCAGTAGAATCCTGTCCATAGATTTTTTTTTTAGGTCAGATCATAGTCAGAGTACACACAGTCCTTCATTTGTCTTATGCTTTTCCATGCCCAGTCATAAGCAGATGTTTTGGCTACAAAATAATACAATCAGTGCTGATAATGCGTTCCTGGAGTGAGAGTGCAAAGGGCCCCATCCCATTAGAAAGCACAAAGAAAAAATGTTTGGATAAGACAGTGAAGCTGCTGACATAATTCTTAGCAATTTGGGTGCTAGGATACTCCAACCTGAATGCAAGCTGTGAGCTTCGGGAGGGACCGTCTCTCCTCCGCTGCACGGCTGTGGTGCTGCCTGCCTGTCAGGACAGACCACAGGCAGGGCTGATGGTGTCCTGCACCTCACGTCTACGCAGGGCCTGCACCTGTCTGCGTACAGGGAACGAAGCGCAAGAGGTCCAAGCGACTAGCTGGAGACCTCTGGAGATGCTGGGATGGTGTTCGCAAGGCGTGATGTGTCAGCACACACAACGTGGATGAACAAAGGGTCCCACAGTAAGTCTGTGCCTATGTATATACTTCTTCGATAGGCACATGGGGCAGGCAGATGGGCACGTGTGCTGGAGGCAGTCGTGCAATACCACGTCCCAGGTAGCGTGGACGGGTTGTGTGGCCTCTGGAGGCAGGGTGGAGCTGGAGGCTGTGGCTACCTACAGCATTTCTTACCAGCCGCAGTGTGATGCCACCACCCCTCTCCTGCTCTAGAGTCCAAGGCAGCAGAGTAGCTCGTTAGCAGACCAGATGTTTACAGAGGACCCAGAGTGCTGTTTGAGGTGAGCTGCAGGTGCCACAGTAAGAGAGCATGAAGTGCGAGCCAGGGGAATGTTTTTATACTTAATGCATCACTTACAGGGACTTCTGCAAATAGGTGGAGGTGAGTTATTATATGACTTGTGGGTAGGGCTAGATACAGCCAAGCATGCACAAGGTTGGGAGTAGACCTACACACATCAGTATCACGGGGTCAGAAGTGTATGTGGTCCATCAGGCAAATCTAAGGAGTGGGAATCAATGCTTTTGAGTACCATCCACATCCCTCTTTGTTTGCCATATACTTTGAGTAAGGAAAACCATGGGACAAGTACCGTCAAGAAATGTAAACAGTCCTTGAGAGGCAAGGTCAGATTTAAACGACACCTGGCCTGCCCAGTCATCACTCTGGGATTCCATCTCTCTCATGTATCTCATGTGTCCTGGCCAAGACAGTACTTGCAAGGCCCTTCCTTTCCCTGAAATTACATCTGCCGTGACCAAAGGGGTGAGGACACTCTCTTCCTCTCAGGATGTAAACAAATGCTAACCGCCCTGCGTTCCGCACGGTGACACTGATGGATGGATGCTCTGTGGCTGGGCTCCAACAGCAGCGCCAAGTTTGTGCTGCATTTCCCCCGACACAAGGCATATATAATAAAGCCTCACGCTGGGAGAGACGAGATCAAGGAAACAGGAGACATAGATCAACATCTCCCTCAAAGTTGTCATGGGTAAGGGAGCATCACCTCACAGGAGTCAGTAGAGCCAGGAGTTCTGCCTCTTCTCCTGGTTTGCTACTGGAATGTTCTGTGATTGCGTTAAAGTTTAGAGGCTTTCATTTCCCCAGCTGTAATGTCTATATGGTATACAGAAATCCTTGGAGAGAAGATGCCACAGAAGGCCCGGTTTCACAGCATCTCGTTCCCAGAGCGCATGTAGATGACATAGTGAGACTTTCCTCACAAGCATGTTATTGCTCATAAACAGCCCGAGGTTAATTGTTCATTGTGATATGTCTCTTGCGTTCCCAAGCTCTCTCTTCTTACGCCCAGAAAACACGGAGCCTTCACGTTTGTCAATGATATCCCTCCAAATTTCTAACCTATGGTGTAAGCTGGCGTCCGTGGGCCGAAATATGATCCAAAAGATTAGAAGACTTAGATCACTGTTTTGCTGACACTACAACTCAAACTCAGCAAAAACATATGTCCTTAGGAAGTGCCAAATCTGGTACAACACTGAACTTTCAGGGAACACTGAATACGGAAACCCACTCAGTCACCCAGCTGCATTACTAAAGCGTTAATACTAAAAAGGGCACCTCATTTGTAAAAAGGTAGGCTAGAACAGAGAAATCAAGAAGTAGAATTCACTGTGAATAAAAATAAACCCAAGTTGTCTGGCTTTATTGCCCACCATGGATGAAAGGCAGGAAGTGGAATGACTGGCAGTGATGGCCAAAGGGAACAGTAGCTTGCTCATATTATTTGAATGTTTAATTATGATCACGTTTCTAGAAATACAAACACTTGTGGGTTTTATGTTGGTATTCTCTCTTCAGGTTTAAGCTGTATTTACCTGTCTGCACTGATTACAGGAACATAGCCACAAACTGGTGTTTGGATATTTTTTTTTTTTTTTAATGGTTGCACAATGTCTTCTGTCCTTTTTCAATCCCCATTCCAGACAGTTGGGAGGCATTGGTTATGGTATACACCTTGAAATATATAGCACTGGCTCAGTATGCTTGGCAATACATGGAAAAGAAATCACCCGTGCTGGAACTACAGCAATTTATCTGGTCGTGTCATTCAGCCCCGTAGCAAGTACAAAAATATTGCCTTTGCAAGTTACCTGAAAAAGCCTGCTGCCAATAACAGTGCTAAGCACACAGAGACGTTTGATGCCTAAGTCCCATAATGTACTCATAAAAGCAGAGACAGAAGGCATATTTTTGCATCACCTGTTTTTATCATTTGCAATGTTTGTAGGATACAACTACTGCAATGAAGGGCCAGATAAATGCTCCATGCAACTAACTGATGTCCTTTGGTATACTACAGAGGGTGATTCATCCCTCACCATGTAAACACAGTATTCCCTACCTTCCCAAATACATAACTCCTTTTAGTTTACTCCTGCAGAGATGGTATGCACAACTCACCTGAGTTTTTGTCAGGCAGTCGGTTTATCCTCCATACGATGGAATTAAAGGCATGCTCATATTTGGCAGTTCCCAAAGTTACTCTCATTACTGGCTCAGAACCAGACAGACTGGTTGATCCAAAAGTGGCCCCCTTGTTCACCTTGGCTTTCAAAGATTTCTCCCCCAGGACGCTCTCCCTGCGGAAGTTCTTCACCCACTCGTTTGGCACTGGGTAGCGGATCATCACATTTTCACAAGGGACCTGAGTTAAAGGGTCACGGTTGGAAGAGAACCCAGTGGACATCATCAGCCAGCTCTGCACCTCCACCTCCGCACCATTGATGCTGGCAGCTGTCCTCAGAGTAAAAGGCAAAGTTTTCTCAGCAAAGACAGTTCTGAATCGCATCAGTTCAAACCGGCAGGCATCCAAGGGGTTGAACAGGATAATACGGGAGTTATTAAACATATCCTCATCTACACATGAATGGAACCGACAGCTATATAATTTAATCCACTTAGTGGTAGTAGTAGGCATAATATCCTGCCTTGCAACTATTTCATTCCCTTTGATCAGGATATCATTAAGGCCCAGTCTGCATTCTGCCAGGCCAGAAAGGAAGCTGAGAACATAGACATGGGTCAGCACACTGTGCTGGAGAATCACACTGTCTCCTTTGGCCAAGATACCACGAAACTCATCCCTGACATCAACCGTGATTTCTTCTTCTTGATAGTTTAGTCCCACTGTGCTCAGATCTGTTGATGAGGCTGGCAAGTTCATCAGTGTGTCTTGCACAGCACTGATGAAGCTAAGGAAGTCTTCATAATCTGTAGTCCCAAGCTTGATAATTTGCTCTCTCTCTGCTGTGTGAGCAATGGCTGGCTTAGGCTGATACTTCTTTTTCTCCTTGTAGGTTGTGCGGTCCAACCGCACACTGTGTATCCTTCCATTCTCATCATAGTTCTGGAGTTTGCGCTCTGAAATCTCATGATTGATTTCAAGTTTGAATTCCCGGAAAGGCTTCTCCAGTCCCTTCTCATAAAAAAGCTGAATACATCCACTGTCAGTCAGCTTGACGTATATTGGTCCCCAGTGCCTGGATGACATAATATTCTTCTTCTCTGGGATCCTGAGCATCATTGGCCATCCATCCTTTGGCTGAACTGGGGCCAGGTTAAATAAGGCTGCATCCAGATCATATGGCATCATGGGGTCATCGTCAGGCAAGGTAGGGCTGCTCACATGATCTGGGTCTCCAATCTGGAGTTGCTTGAGCTGCTCTACAGCATCTGTGTGGGTTACACTTTTGTTTGCCTCATGGAAACTGATGGTATCAGGTTCTTGATGGAGAATGATGAGAGAATCTCTTTGGCTTTTGCCTGGAGCACTGGAGACAGAGGAACTTTTGGAACGCCTGTCTCGCTCCTCGAAGAATGAGCTGAATGGATTGATGGGTGAAGGCTGGACATCTCGCAGAGATTCGTCCAGGAAGGGATTAGTAGCACTCCATGGTGGTGTTTCAACAGAAGGCAACTTGGTTAAGGAGGAGAGATCTAGTTTTTTAATTTTGGAGAGGTCACCCAATGTGCTTTTAGGACGTTCTCTTTTCTTAAAGGATGTAGTGATGTTAAAGTTAACGTCTGGAGTCTGTGTTTCTGCAGGTGGGGTGTCTGTTTTCAAGGGAGAAAGGTTCTGCGGTGCAAAACTGACTTCATTGTCATCAAAAGTCACCCAGCTGGGAAAGCGAACTGTGGTCGGGGTAGATGAATGCCCATTCACAGAAGTGTTACTCAGCTGCCAGTTGACAGCCTCCATATCTACTTCTTCATCTTCCTGGAGAGACGAGGAATTGTCTTTAAAAAAAGAGGGGAGGGGAGGAAATTTCAGCTAATTATTCTGAAGTTACCTAGTTCTCTCCACTAAAAGAAAAACACAGTCTGCACAATAGTTTGCATGCTCAAGAAAGACCTAGTCATATGCTGGGCAAGAAAAATAATCAAAAGACTTGGCTAAAATGCTGAAGGGTCTGGCAAGAATGAAGAAATTGGTTCAGCCAGTTTTTAATGGACAGTTTAACACAGAAAAGGAATGCAGGGAAAAAATACAAAAGGAATGACAGCAATGATTGTATTGTTCTCACTCAAACATAATGACCTAAAAAAGAAACTTAGCCTACGTGTTGTAGTGAAAAAGCTTCCCTCTCTAAACTTTCAGGCTGCATTTCTTCTCTCCGCTTATCTTCTGTCATTTGCCTGTTTTGTTCCCTCTCTCCCTTGTTCTCATTTTTTTCCTTTCTGTTTCCATACCCTTTTTCTACAGAAGAATCCAGTGGGGAGAGGGAATGAACACTGAGGAAGAGCACTTCTCCCCTCTGTCCCCACATACTTGTCTGCACACTCTCTGTGTGTGCACACAAAAGCACACGGGGGTATGGTGAAGGCACCATAAAAGGTGACCAGGTGGCATTTTTGCCCAGGATGTGTTCAGTAAAGAGACTCTTTGGGTTACCCAGTTGGAAAGAGTCTGCCAGTCCTTGGATGTCTCCGAAAACACTCTTGGAGGAGCTGTGATCCGTTAGGAGGAGCTGGATGTACGTTAGGACAAGGAAAAACATAGTTTTGACTTGTATTGTGGAAGATGTCCTCATCCTCTATCAGGACATGGCACCTTTGACTGCTCTTTTCCCAGTCTCGGGTTTTGCCAAGACACTACCCAGAAGCCTGCATCTTACTGTGCTGTGTTCTATCTCTGGAGGAGATAGAAGCAGTGCTAATAAGGTGTTTTCCAAAATGCGCACAAATTCTCAGAGTTCAGAAATTAAAAGGTTTTCTTCCCATTTTCGTCCTGCTGGGCTAATGAATCGGAGTGCTCCTCAAAATGAGCAGCCAGCATGAAATTATACTCTCCATCTGCACCATGGGTTTGTCTACATATGATACAGCAGTGCTAGCATTTCTGCCTTTTGTTTCTGATAAATCTATAGATCCCATATTTTACACAAGTCACTGTTCTTCAGTACAAGCAGAAATGTGAGTGTAAAATGTAGCCCCTTGTTATGGCTGTACACCTGTGATGTGAGCATATATTACAATATTAACAAAAACAAACTATTTAAGTCATTATTTATAATTGTTACCACTTTGCAAAAAAGATGAGCTTGATTTCCATTCTGCCTCAACCATAACAGACCATTTGAATTTTGATTACAGTTACCATTTAGAATATGAAATAGGGAATATTCATGAAAGCCAAAATCCTGCCATTAGCTCATTATAATGTCTTGGGTAACTGGATTTTCTGGGCCCCTCAGCCCAGCTGTATGGAAGTTCACCCAACCTTTTGATCTAAGAACAAACCACAGCATGCAAGTTCTAAGGGTTATTATAACTCAGAATTATATATGAAGCAGAATGATACCAATTTGTTTTTCAGGCCACAATAATAACAAAGCAAAACCAAAACCAGATAGCTTTTACAGACTATCCACACACTGCAAAGCGTATTTGAAAGGAAGTGGCACTACCTCAGTATCTCAGTTTTTCTTCTCTACCCTGCCCTTTCACTCCCAGCTTTGCACGATGCCTCTCTGGTGTCCCTGCTACTGGTTGCACCACTGGGTACAGCGGTGGGTCCTTTATCTGTTAAGTTTTGCCACAAGACTATAAATAGATTTGTGGGGGAAAAAAACCCAACAAGCCAACCAATTATCATCCACAACCACACCCTAAGAAAGAAAGTAATAAAAAACCCAACAAGAATAACTTCTGATGTTGCTCTGATCCTCGGGTCCGCGCCAATACCTTCTATGTTGTCTCATGCCTTTCCAGTACTTTGGTTAGCAAGCATGTAATCCTCTGAAGCAAAGCAAAGGCAAAGGACAGATGCAATAAGAACACCACCTCTTTGCCATCTGCAATTATAATTTTCTCTTGTTCTGTATCTTGGTTTTTGGATTGCAACCAAATCTGCTTCCAAAAATAAAGTATTAACACTTATGGTAAGTTTGAGAGAGGCAGATGAGAAGACTTCCTTGTCCATGTGAAAAGCACACAGAAATCACTTGACAAAATTTCTTTCTAAACCAAACAAGTTTTATAAAATAAATTGCTTATTTGATCCAGATACCCATAAATACAGAAGAAATATTAAGAGAACCTTTATAAATGTAAGCATTTGTGTAATTTTATTTTCTAGAAACATCAATAAACTGTTATTTGATTTGATATGTGGAAGTGTCAAATCTAAGAAGTGAAACAATCCTTCTTTCCTGAACTAAAATCAAAACTACATTCTTCTGCTGCCAAAGAACCATATGGTTGGGTTTACAAATGTTTGAAGAATACAGAGGTGGTTCTGGAAAAGACAGGTTTTTAGCTTTGTCTGTAAGAGAATGACTAATAGCAGGGAAGATAAAAATAACAATATGCTAATGCAGCTAAGCATCCAAAGAAAGTTCCTGAGAACTAGATGAAATAGTGTGTATATTCCAAGAGAAATATTGGCACCTCTGCTGCAAAGGCAAATACAGCATGGTGAAAAATCTTTACATTGCTAGAGATTGGCTTAGACAATGATTTGAGATTTTTCCCTTCTTGACTTTTGACGAGTTCCTGAACATGGGTGAAAATGTTTAAAATGTGAATGTCTTTCAATTTGGCAGCACCCCAGTAGGTCTGGGAGAGGACACTGAAGAAAGTGTCCCTAAATGAATGTTAAGTTCATTATTTTACTTCTTGCTTTTATAACTGTTTTCAAAATTCCTTCCTGCAAAATAAATCAAGACAATAGCTCGCTGATGGGGTGCAGGCAGTCTTCAACCCAGACTCCTGACTGAGAAAGACTGATCAGACTGAAAAAAAAGATCAGAAGGATGGAACACCTCTTCTATGAGGAGAGGCTGAGAGAGCTGGGGTTGTTCAGCCTGGAGAAGAGAAGGTTCCAGGGAGATCTGATTGCAGCTTTTCAATACTTGAAGAGCTTATAAGAAAGACAGGGTGAAACTTTTTATCAGGGCCTATTGTGATAGGACAAGGGGTAATGGTTTTAAACTAAAAGAGGGTAGATTTAGACTAGATACAATGAAGATATTTTTTACGATGAAGGTGGTGAAACACTGGCACAGGTTGCCCAGAGAGGTGGTAGGTGCCCCATCCCTTGGATGGAAAGATTCAAGGTCAGGTTGGACAGGGCTCTGAGCAATCTGATCTAGTTGAAGATGTCCCTGCTTATTGCAGGGGGGTTGGACTAGATGACCTCTAAAGGTCCCTTCCAACCCAAACTATTCTGTGATTCTACAACTCTATGAAAGACTAGATCTGCATAAAAAAGGAAGTGATCAAAACAACGCATTTGTTTTTTCCTTCTTGACGGATTGACTTTGTTGTCCTAAGCAAATTACTTTGATAGGTGTTTACTTTGCAAAATTAAAATATCTTTTAATTGCCTGACCTTGCCAGATTCCAGCCTGGCAGGTTACTCCAGCCAGCTACAAAAGATTTACCAAGGAGGTGAAGGGGACAGTAGCTCTTTCTCCTTTCCCAGTGGCACCAGCAACATGTGAGCTCCTGGGGCAAGAGGCGTCAGGCTGCCCACACAACTATACATCTCTGCATTCATTCCCCCACATAAGTGGTGCCTGCAACGAGCACTGGCCGTACATTACTACATACGTGCTTGAACATCATTACCAAGCCATTAAAGAATCTGGAAGCTTAAGTTCCTGATGAACAATAAAACGCCATCCTGCACTGGATGCAGAACATCTCATTATGATCAGCCTCGTGACTCACTACAAGGAAAGAAGGCTTTCATTCTCTTTAATCGTTTCATCTTTTCCTTTTTCTGTTTAAACCATTTTGGTCAAAACCATCAGTTAATGTCATGTTATTTACGCCTGCGGGAAAGGCAGCCATCCAACTGCTTAAGGACACCGATATTGGAAAATGTTCATGACCAAAACTGTACCACAGAAGTAGGAAGAAGATCTGAGAGCATTACACACTTTCAAAAAGAAAGGCAGATAACGACTTTAAGAAATGGATCTGAGCAAAAGCCTGGATTTTGAAATTTCTGAGGTCTCATCTATTTTGCCTCTTGACAGAAATTAGTTCAGAGCTTCATGGTGTGATTGTTTCTGTTCCCTGAATACAGTAATATACATTTAATTCAGATAGCACTACTCTTCACTTCAGTCTGTAGTACAGGCATACCCTTAACATGGTCACACCTTCCAATGGGGTCCTCCTTTCCTTGATGTAGCCAACACCAGTCCCTCAAAGTAAGCATTGCTAAGTTTTCCATTGGCATAGCTGGATCTATTCTAGGACGCTTTCTGGGAAACTAATCTACATAAAGTCCAGCAGACACTGATACACAGGCAGGTAGTACTTCAGACTTGGCCTTTAAAGATCAGCCAGGTCAAGAGGATGCCAATTACAAAACCTGTAGCGCCTCTGTATTCATAACCAGTGATATAAAAGCTTTCTGCACAGGTAGACAGAAGCTGGGAGAAGTCATGGACTAGGTTGTTGAGCAGTTATCTCTCCATGACAAAGGTTATACTTTCACATTCTTTCTGTGATGTCCGTATCTGGTCATTTCCTTGCATTTCTTTTCCATATCCAACTCACAACAACTGTGCCTGTACACTTCTTTTTTTTGGTGGTTTGTCATGTTTCTGATCTTCTCGAGACAGATAGTGTAGTTTAAAGCGAGTGGGCTATTGTTCTGAAGTGATCCAACCAGACTCCTATTTCCAGCCTGGCCACTGACCTGCTATATGGCTCTGAGAAAAATGCTTCATTGCTTTCACAGCTTCTGGTTCTCTTCCCGCTTTTTGCAATTTTTGACTATA